AAGGAGGCATAAAATACTGAATCACAAACAACCATCAAATACCTGACAGTTTCTGACCAACAGGAATGGTAATTTCATCAATTCAACCTCATACAATATAAATGGTATTGAATAAAAATATGTAGAAAACAGGTAATCAGATCAAGAATTATGAAGATTATGTGTATATGCACTTAATAAAGCTATGTATTATGAGGCCTGGTGCGGTGGTTCACGCCTGTAATCCCAACACTTTGGGAGGCCAAGGAGGGCGGATCACCAGAGGTCGGGAGTATGAGACCAGCCTGACCAACATGGAAAAACCCCATCTCTACTAAAAATACAACATTATCCAGGCGTGGTGGCACATGCCTGTAATCCCAGCTACTCGGGAAGCTGAAGCAGGAGAATCACTTGAACCCATGAGGCGGAGGTTGCAGCGAGCCGAGATGGCGCCATTGCATTACAGCCTGGGCAACAAGAGCGAAACTCCGTCTCAAAAAAAAAAAAAAAAAAAAAAAAAAAAGGCTATATATTATGTTACCAAGAAAAACAAAATGCTCATACGTTCATACAAAGAAATTCAAATTTCTGGTAATTCAGAGTCTCTGAAGCCAAAACCCAAATTTAAGAAGCTCTGCAATGATAGAATTTTTAACTATAAGGCAAAAATCAAATTATGATATTTAATACAAACTGACTCCCTGGGAAAGTACAGGATATTCATATTAGGCACTTTAAGCATCTTTTATTTAGGTCTTGATTTCAATATTGAAAGTAACCAAATGACTATTCAAAGTAAAGCCTGATGGGTCAATATGTTTTCTGATTTTAGCCTAGTTGAAACCATAGGAACAGAAGGGTATTAGAATAACCTGGAATCACATTAGTTAAATTACCAGTTTAGAAGCTATTGAAAATGTTCCTGATACTTAATGTCATGCAAGTTTTAGAAAAATAAAATTATTTATCCAATCTAATGTGCTTTATTAACAAATCTTGTTGGTACATTCACAGAAATAAACCACATACAGAGCTAACAAGTTATTTTTTGCTTGCAACTGCTGCACTATTTTAAAGTCAGTTTCAGTTTCACTGAAATCACTGGTTACAGTTCCTTAAAATTAAAGGAAAGTGATTATTTTGGGGAGTAATTCAATGGGAACATGTCCATTCAAAAAAGATACAACTATATATAACACCAACTTTGCAAACAATTTTAAAATTTTAAAAACGTGATTACTTTTGGCAGAAATTCTATCTTTAATCTTAAACAGGCTATGGATAAGGAGTTTCTTGCCTATTCCATGCCTGCAGTCACCTTTGTCCATGAATGCTTTGTCTAACACATAAGTCTCAGTCTGTAAGTCCATCATCTCCTAAAAGTTCCAACTGCCAGCACAAGCTGCTGTAATGATGGCATGATGACTCACATCCTTATCCACACATGCACTTCCATTATTTATTGTAACACCTCATCGTCTACAGCCTCTCATGGGTTGTGGTAGATCAGAATGGGGAACGGGGAGGTGGTAGGAATGGTGGGACAGGTCTTGGTGTTTTTTCAAAGCTACAAGCTATTGTAAAATCGATTGAGTGGGTTGTGGTCAGCCTTTTGGTTTGGGGATTTTCTTGGGATCTGGGGAGAAGTTTAAAATAGAATAGAATACAATACAATAGGCTGGGCAATGGTGGCTCACACCTGTAATCCCAGCACATTGGGAGGCTGAGGTGATGGATTACTTGGGGTCAGGAGTTCGAGACCAGCCTGGCCGACATGGTGAAACCCTGTCTCTACTAAAAATACAAATATAGCCGGGTGTGGTGGCATATGCCTGCAGTCCCAGCTACTCGGGAGGCTGAGGCAGAAGAATTGCTTGAACCTGGGAGGTTGCAGTGAGCAGAGATTGCGCCACTGCACTCCAGCCTGGGCAACAGAATGAGACTCCATCTCGAAAAAAAAAAAAAAAGGAAATACAATATAATAGAACAAAAACCATCAGAGTGCCTCAGTGTAAGGGTAAGTATCTCTTCAGTTATGTTTGTATATAAGTACGTACATAGAGTCACAGTCTTGACATAAAAGCAACCAAAATCTAGGTCTTGGTTTAAAGACAATTTTAGACCTTTGGATTGGAGACCCACATTCTAGTCCCAGCACAATTCCAGCCCAATACTGGACTACTCGTGTCTTCCTTCTTTCAGTTTCACCTCATATCTGCCTCACAATCATTCACTCTACAATTGTATGTTATAAATGAAATGGTGTCCTGTGGATACCGTCTTAAATACCCAAGAAAAAGGCATTCTCCTTAGATAATGCAAAGAAAACCCTACAAAAAAACTATTAAAACATAGTAAATTATTAAACATTTTAAATTATTGAAACCATATTAAAAGCTTTAAAAATATTCATATTTCCCTACTCATGTCCAAAAACATTTATTCTGGTTGTACCCAGCACTTCCCTTCCAGGAACAGTCCATTTGGATTATATTTTGAACTTGTTTTCTAACATTTTATGCTTCTCCATCTCTCAGATCCCATGTTTCTGGACTGATAATAACTAGCCACCTCCAGGAACTTCATAAATTATGTTGGAGAAAAAATTTTTCCCTATACATTTCATGTTTTTCAATTGTTTTCCTGGTTTTTTTTTTTTTTTGTCCTCAGTGACTTGCCAATGCTCTGAGATTTCCCTTAAAAACCTTTAACTTTTCACCTTACCTATACCTCTTATTTCTCCACTCTTATATTCTTAGAAATAAATATTTTATTTTAAAGGATGCCTACAGCATTGACCCAATTTACAATACTTCTCTCTGGCATCTCCAAAACAATCAGTTGGCTGAAGCCTACCTTTCAAATTCACCACCCACAAAATTCAGTCAAAGGCATCATGCCTACTAGAACATACTTTCTTTTTTTTATTTTTTTTTGAGATGGAGTCTCGCTCTGTCACCCAGACTGGAGCACAGTGGCCGGATCTCAGCTCACTGCAAGCTCCGCCTCCCGGGTTCATGCCATTCTCCTGCCTCAGCCTCCTGAGTAGCGGGGACTACAGGTGCCCGCCACCTCGCCCGGCTAATTTTTTGTATTTTTAGTAGAGACGGGGTTTCACCGTGTTAGCCAGGATAGTCTCAATCTCCTGACCTCATGATCCGCCCGTCTCGGCCTCCCAAAGTGCTGGGATTACAGGCTTGAGCCACCGCACCCAGCCTAGAATATACTTTCAAAGTTACAAATAAATGTGGTTTAGACTTTGGCCAAATAAAACAACCAGTCGTGAAGGCTTTCAAGAGTTTTCATTTCAGAATGAAAACTTCAGAAATCCATCTTTCTTACGATAGCTTTGGAAAATGATCTCTTTGAATATAAAGCTCACTTGAAAGACAAAATAATTTTTTTCTGCCCAGTTACTTACTTTCAGTGTTGAACTGTACTTTTTAACATTTATAATTTGCTTTAAATTCAAAATAATTGTGTTACACAAAAAAATGTTACAGTGGCTCTGGTGCCTAAAAGAAGTCTGGTCAAAGTACCTTTGAAGTAATATGCTTAATACACTGATGGTGACTCTTATCTCCTAGTTGCATAGTTCAAAATTTGTGCAATCATTTTAACTCTTCTTTTCTTCTCACACTCACATTTAATATATCATGAAATCTTTTTGGTCCTCTTTCAAAAATACCCAGGTTCCAACCATCTCCATCTCCACTCCATCTCCATCTCTGTCTCCACTGTTAACACCCTGGTTCAGTCTATCATCTCTCAAGAGGATTACTCCAAAATCTCCTGTCTGATGTCCCTACCTTTCTTACCTTCCTACGGTTGTTTTTAACAAAATAGCCATTGTGATCCTTTAAAAATCTCAGACAGATCATATCACTGCTCCACTAAAAACCCTGCAAGAGCTCCCTGCTTCGCTCAAAGTAAAGCCTAAATGCTTACAATGGTCTACATTTTCTGGCTCTTTGTGAGCATTCCTACTACTCCCATTTCACTGACTTCACTCCAGCTGCACTGACCTTGCTGTTCCTCAAGCCCACCCAGGCATGAGACAGTCTCTGGGCCTTTCAACTGGCTGTTGCCTCTGCCTAGAAAGCTTTTCCCCGGGACATCTCCATGACTAATCTTTCATCTCCTTTGTTGACTCAGTGAGGTCCATGCTGACTATCTAAAAACAATCATAACCTTTGCTCCCCCACCAATCCAATTTCCCTTTATCTTCTCCTACTCTTTTTTTTTCACAGCTGTTTATCACCTTCTAACATGTTAAATAAATAATACATTTATTATGTTGCTTATTTTCTGTTTCCTTCTGCAAGAATGTAAAGTCCCTAAGACCAGGATCTCTGTTTGTTTAGGAAAACAATTTATATTTATGTTATGGGTGGGTAAAAAGATACCTTGGCATATTGTAGAGGTATAAGAATTAGCATCAGTAAATTGGTTCCAAATATTTTAAGAATGCTCTCTCACCTTAATACTACAACTTTCTGGAAAGAGTTTTCAATTTCAAATTGATTTATAAAATGTGTTTAGTTTTATCTGACATGTGACAATGTATCCAGAGATATTTGGCAGGTGTGGGATGGGAATGGGCAGATCAAGACTCAAATTTTCCAAGTCCCTTAGAGAAATGAAAGCATTGCCTAAGAAATCTTTTCTTGCTTTGTCCTAAATAATCTTAAAACAGATGGCAAAAGCTAAATACTAAGTCTGCTTCCATGGAAACCACTATCACAGCAGCCCACTCTAGAGCCCCACCTATGAGATAAATGTTTGTCTTCCTATTGTTATAATCTAAGCCTGCCAACTTTCACTCTAAGTCCTACTAGAAAGTACAGCTACTATACACATATTAGCCTGGCAAACACATCTGGGAGAAACCAGTTCATACACAATCTAACCTTAAACATAATCAAACCTTGCAACATATAAAACTTTTTTTACATAATTTGCTGTATTATTCCGAACTCATATTTTACCTTTATTATGTAAAAACTCATGTGTCTTACTTTAATATTGCAAGCCTGCTCCATCAGTCTTCTTGCATTTTCCTCTGCCCTGTATCTCTTTGGAAGCTGAACTCTAAAGAACTTTAAAGCACCTTCAAAATCAGCCTGCAGAAGGTCTTCCTTTGAAGTCTGCAAAATAATAATCAAGAATCATCATTACATTTCATCCTGCTTTGAGGACAAATATATTTCAAAAATAATTTATATTTTCTTGAATATACTTTTATAGTTAAGATCTAAGTTAATTCAAACATTTTAAGAAGATATTTCTAACATTTCAATATTTAGATGATACTGCTATCAGCTGAAATAAATCACCATAAATCATAGAAGCAATCTAAGAGTTAATTAACAAACTAACATACTGAATTTATATTAGCTGAAAATTAGAATGATGGTTTCTGGCAAAGCTTACCATGTTATAGTTCTGAGAAAAGAATAAATCTAAAAAAGGAAAAGAAACTGAACTCAAGGACTAATCTGTGACTTCAGCTCAATGAACATTTTAAGGATATTATTAAAAAGCTGGCTGAAGACATAGAAAATATAATCAAAATACATCAGAATTACACAATAAACACCTAATGGGAAGATGGCTTTTCAACTAATGACAGCAGCAGTTCAAGTGAAAAGAATAGGAAATTGATCCCATACCTTGAAGAAGGCTACGAAAAAGTAAATGAAACAAAACACCTAACTACTGAACTCTTATGAAAACTATTGTTTACCAAATTTACTACTTCAAAAAATAAAAAAACACTTGGAAATAAATATATCTGTGTGCAGAAAAAAGACTAAAAAGAAAACAAAATGTTTATCTGTAAAGTGGAATCATGGGTTACCATTTATTTTTACTTTTCTTGAGACAGGGTCTCCTTCTGTTGCCCAGGTGGGAGTGTATAGTGCAATCATGGCTCCCTGCAACCTCAACCTCCCAGGCTCAAGTGATCCTCCCGCCTCAGCCTCCTGAGTAGATGGAACTACAGGCACACACCACCACACCTAGCTACTTGTAATTTTTTTTTTTTATAGAGATGGGGGTCTCACTCTGTTTCCCAAGCTGATAACTCCTGGCCTCAGGGTATCTTCCCACCTCAGCCTCCCAAAGTGCTGGGATTACAGGCGTGGGTCACTGCACCCTGCAGGTTATTTTTTTCATTATATTTTGTTATACTTTCTGTATAACGCTTTTATAATAAGAAAGACAATAAATATTTTAATAAACAGCTATAAACAACTTTCACAAACACTGTGATACATATAGATTTAGGAAGATCAGTATATAGAAGCCAAAAACAAATTAGATGTTTTACAGTTAGTAATTAATAGTCAAAAACTTCAACAATTAAAAAAAGCACCCAGAAATCACATAACTATATGCTATGTCAAAATATTACTTTATTTAAATTTAAATGTAAAGCTGATTAAAGACTGCACTGAAAAAGTAGGCAGCAGGCCAGAGAAATTCCTGCTTGTAACAGGGTCTCAGTTTTCGTCATCACCACCCTGGTCCAAGTCATTATCATGACTAGCAAGACATGTAGTCCAATCTTAGCAACATCTTGTAATCTACATTTTGGCTCCAATATAAGATCTGAGTGAAACCTTCTCTGAGCACTTAAATTCTTCCTCCCAGCCCATTCCCCACTAATTCACTTTCCAGTTTTACATCTGTTCCCCTTCTTCCCCTCTCTGTCTGTCTTTTTCACTGCTATATCCACAGCAACAAGAACAATGACCAGAATATAGGAGGCACTCAATTAAAATTTGTAACAGAAAAAATGAATGAAATCTACTTTCATCTCTCTTTTGCTACAGTTTGCTTCCCTTTTCCCCTGCCCTTTAAACAGAAATGTGAAAGAAAAGAACATATTCACACCAGACAGTTTCACAAAAGTCCACAAATTAGTAATCAAACAATGGAGCTAGGCTAACAGTAGTAATGAAAAAACAAAAAACTCCAGTATATCTCAGATTTCTCTTTCCTCATAAATATACAGATGCGATAGCAACAAGTAGTGGAGAATGCTTAGCATGCTCTCAACTCACCTTAACTTAGTTGGAAAAGGCAGTTACTGGAAACAACTTCAGTCTGAAGAGAGCCTTTCTAACTAAAATACCAATTGCTGAATTATGGGGGAAAGCATCCAGCTACCAATTCTACCAGACATACCACACATCCCTAGCCTTCCTTTTTCATATATAATACCAGTGCTGATGATTAGCTCTCTGGTAATGGTTTGGACAATTCCAGACAAACTGCTTCCAGGGTTTGTAGAGAAACAGGATTAACCCTTTCTTCACTACTGAAAGTCCTCTGAAGGCACCTCTTCTATTTTTAGTGCAATTAACCTCTAGTTACCTGGAAACAGATGCCCCAAAATGGTGATGGGCAATCTCTTCTCTGCAGACAGTAGCACAGTTATCTAATTTTCTAAAATTGCCAAGGCCTAATTTCAAATCCAGCCTTTTAGCACACACAAAGGCAGATAGATAGGGATCAAGAATGAGGAATCCTATGTTCTCACACACTGGACCTCTGGTCAAGCAGGGATGGCCATGTAGGCAGAGATGCTGCTTGGGAGAGGCTAATAGTCTCAGGGAGGGTACAGCAATGAGGTTCCCACCAGGGTGGGGCTGAAGCCCAACTCAGCTTGAGTCTCTGGACACAAGAAGCCAGAGTTCCCTGTGGCTGTCCTTTCCTAGACATTGCTGGTGTTGATATTCCTGCATATCACATGGATCGCCCAGCTCAGTTAAGCTCAAGAAGAGAGATCTGGCAACCATGGGGCAGGGAGGCTCAAGTACACAAAGGTGTGAAAACTGCATCTTATTCAATTTGCTAACCTCGGCCTCTGGAGTACTTGACACATTAAAGGTACTCAAGGTTGCAAAGAATGTAATAAATTCATTTTAATTTCAATTTTGGCAAACTTGCAGTGCTATGTAAGTTTTCCCATTTTAAAAATGGGAATATCTTTAATCACAAGTATTTGAGAATGAGGTCATGCTTGGTGGCTCACACTCATATTCCCAGCACTTTGGGAGGCTGAGGCAGGTGGATCACTTGAGGTCAGGGGTTCGAGACCAGCCTGACCAATACAGTGAAACTCCATCTCTACTAAAAATATAAAACAAAATTAGCCAGGCGTGGTGGCTCATGCCTGTAATCCCAGCTATCCGGGAGGCTGAGGCAGGAGAATCACTTGAACCCAAGAGGTGGAGGTTGCAGAGAGCCGAGATTGCGCCATTGCATTCCAGCCTGGGCAACAAGAGTGAAACTCTGTCTCAAACACACACACACACACACACACACACACACACACACACACACACACACACACAAAAGTACTTGAGAATGAAATAATTTAAGGCATAAGAACGCATCTTTTGAGCTCCAAAAGAAATATAAGGGGTGATAGTATCTGTGTTGCTCAAACATGCTCAAAAATAGATATCTTAGTGGCTAAAAGCAGTACCTTGCTCTCACTGATTTTTTGTTTGTTTGTTTGTTTTTTGTTTTTTGAGACAGGGCCTCGATTTGTTGCCCAGGCTGGAGTACAGTGGTGCAATATAGCTCACTGCAGCCTCAAACTCCTGAGCTCAAGAGACCTTCCTGCCTTAGGCTCCTGAGTAGCTAGGACTACATGCGTGTGCCACCATGCCAGCTATGTATTAATATATATTTTTTTGGCTGGGCGCAGTGGCTCATGCCTGTAATCCCAGGACTTTGGGAGGCTGAGATGGGCGGATCACGATGTCAGGAGATCAAGACCATCCTGGCTAACACAGTGAAACCCCATCTCTACTAAAAATACAAAAAAAAAAATTAGCCAAGTATGGTGGCAGGCACCTGTAGTCCCAGCTACTCGGGAGGCTGAGACAGAATGGCATGATCCCAGGAGGTGGAGCGTGCAGCGAGCCGAGATCACACCATGGCACTCCAGCCTGGACGATAGAGCGAGACTCCATCTCAAAAAGAAAAAAAAATAATTTTTTTTTGGTTGTTGTTTTGTTTTGTTTTTGGTAGAGATGGGGGTCTCGCTATGTTGCACAGGCTGATCTCAAACTCCTGGCCTTAAGCAGTCCTCCCACCTAGGCCTCCCAAAGTGTTGGGAATACAGATGTGAACCGCTGTGCCTGGCCTCATTGATATTTTTAATTCCATAAAGTGGGCAGTCTAAATTGCAAGAACTTATATTCTTCTTATGCGCTACAATACACCTAATTTCATTGTGAATGAAAACAAAAACGCCAGTAAGCAAAAAACACATAAAACAAAAACCTTGCTTGCCAGTATTCTAGAAGACAACCTGTAGTTAGTCCTACTTTGATTCTAATGGGTTTTTTCCTCCAATTTTCTATCTTTGAGAGACTTCCATAATCATTAAGTATCACCTCAAATGCCTTTGTAATGCCATAAGCAGATTATAAGCTTACAGAGATAACTCTCCATTTGCTGACAACTGTATCTAAAAGGTTTTTCCCTCTACAATCCAGGGACAGACACTTCTTGTTCTGCAAAGATTTGGATGTTTCACTAAGAACTTATCAAAAGTCGTTTGGCTTTTTTTTTTTTAAAGAATACTTTTTCAATCATAAATCGTACATATGTATGTGTATTGTCCACATGGTGGGGTCACGCAATTTTTCTTGATTACATATTCATGGCCCAAAATAAAAATTTTTTTAAAAGCCTAACATAAGGTCTGACTACAGAGATAAACATAATTAATATTTTATTACATTATTTATAGTCCTTTCCCCCATCATTACATACATATCTTACACATATTTAACAAAATTTGAATCATCCTGTACATATTATTTTGTTAAATATATGTGCTTTACAGACCGGGTACAGTGGCTCACACCTGTAATCCCAGCATTTTGGGAGGCCAAGGCGGGTGGATCACTTTGAGGTCAGGAGTTCGAGACCAGCCTGGTCAACATGGTGAAGCCCTATATCTACTAAAAATACAAAAATTAGCTGGGCGTGATGGCACGTGCCTGTAATCCCAGCTACTCTGGAGGCTGAGGCAGGAGGATTGCTTGAACCCAGGACATGGAGGCTGCAGTGAGCTGATATTGCACCACTGCACTCCGGCCTAGGTGACAGAGTGAGACTC